TCATGGTCCCAAAGTCCTGAGATTGAGCCCCACATCGACTCTGGGCTGAGGGTGGAGCCTGCTTAAGATTCTCTCTCCCCGGGCACCTGGGTGGCTTAATCGGTTAAGCGTCTGACTTCGGCTCAGGTCGTGATCTCACGGTTCATGAGTTTGAGCCCCGCTTTGGGCTCTGTACTGACAGTCAGCTCAGAGCCTGGAGCCTGTTTCAGATTCTGTGTCTCCCTCTCAATCTGACCCTCCCCTGCTCACACTGTCTCTCTCTCTCTCTCTCTCTCTCTCTCTCTCTCTCTCTCTGTCTCCATCTGCCCCCTCCACTACTTGCACATACTCTCGGCTCTCTCTCGCTCTCTCTCAAAAGAAAAAAGAAAAGAAGAGAAAAAGAAAAGACAGTCTCTTCAATAAATGGTGCTGGGAAAATTGGACATTCACATGTCAAAGAATGAAACTAGACCCCTATCTTATACTACTCACAGAAATCAACTCAAAATAAATTACATACTTAAATGTAAGGCCTGAAGCCATAAAACTCCTCAAAGAAAACATAGGGGAAAAGCTTCTTGACATAGGTCTCAGCAATGATTTTTTTTTTTTTTGGATATGACACCTAACACACAAATACCAAAATAAAAATCAAACAAGTGAGACTACATCCCATTAAAAAGCTTCAGCACAGCCAAACAAATAATCAAGAAAATAAAAAGGCAGCTTTTGGAATGGTAGAAAACATTTGGAGATCATGTATCTGATAAGGAATTAATATGCAAAATATATAAAGATCCCATACAACTCCATAGCAACAAAGCAAAACAAAACAAAACAAACAACCCCCCAACAAACCCAAAGAATCCAATTAAAACTGGGCAGATGACTGGGGCGCCTGGGTGGCTTAGTCGGTTAAGGGTCCGACTTTCGCTTAGGTTATGATCTCGCGGTTCGTGGGTTCGAGCCCCGCATCGGGCTCTGTGCTGACTGCCAGCTCGGAGCCTGGAGCCTGTTTCAGAGTCTGTGACTCTCTCTCTCTCTCTGACCCTCCCCTGCTCACGTTGTCTCTCTCTCTCTCCTAGAAATGAATAAAACATTAAAAAAAAAATGGGCAGATGATCTAAGTACACAGCTTCCAAAGAAGAAGTTCAAATAGCCAAGAGGTACATTAAAGGTGGTCAACACCCTTAATCATCAGGGAAATGCATATCAAAACATAATATCACCTCATACCTGATGGAGTGGCTAGCATTAGAGATAACAAGTGTTGGCAAAAAAGTGGAGAAAAGGGAACACGTGGGCCCTGCTGGTGGGAATGCAAACTGGTGCAGTCGCTCTGAAAGACAGTGTGGAGTTTCCTCAAAAAAATTAAAAATAGGGGCACCTGGGTGGCTCAGTCGGTTAAGCATCCGACTTCGGCTCAGGTCACGATCTCACGGTTTGTGAGTTGGAGTTCTGCGTCGGGCTCTGTGCCGACAGCTCAGGGCCTAGAGCCTGCTTCGGATTCTGTGTCTCCCTCTCTCTCTCTGCCCCTCTCCCTCTCACGCTCTCTCTCCAACTCTCAAAAATAAATAAGCATTAAAAATAAATTTTAAAACTTCAATTCAATTCAATTTAATTCAAAATAGAATTACCATATGACCCAGCAATTCTACTTCTGAGTACTTATCTGAAGGAAGCAACATCACTTATCTCAAAAAGATATCTGCACCCCCATGTTCACTGCAAGAGCCAGCACGTGGAAACAACCTAAAGTGTCCATTACAGATGAATGGATAAAGAAAATGTGGCAGGTATGTATAATGGAATACTATTCAGCCACAAAAAAGAAGGAAATCCTGCCATTTGCAATGGGCCTTGAGGGCATTGCACTAAGTGAAATAAGTCAGAGGAAGAGAGAAGTACCTTATGATCACTTACATGTGGAATCTAAAAACTGAACTTAGAGGGGCACCTGGGTGGGTCAGTCAGTTAAGCATCTGACTTCAGCTCAGGTCATGATCTCATGGCTGGTGAATTCAGGTCCTACATCGGGCTCTGGGCTCACAGCTCAGAGCCTGACGCCTGCCTCGGATTCTGTGTCTCCTCTCTCTCTTTCTGCCCCTCCCCTGCTCGTGCTCTGACACTCTCTCTCTCACACACACACAAGAATAAACATTAAAAAAAATTAAAAACTGAACTTAGAGAAACAGATTGGTGGTTGCCAGAGGTGGGGGTGGAGGGCGGTGGGTGAAATGGGCGAAGGTGATCAATATATGCAAACTCCTAGTTTTAATAAATCTCCTGGGAATATAATACACAGCATGGTGACTCTACTTAGCAATACTGTATTGTATAGTTGAAACTTGCTAAAAGGGCCAATCTTAAAAGTTCTCATCACAAGAAAAAGTTTTGTAATTATGTTTGGTGATGAATATTCACTAGAGTTACAGGGGTGATCATTTTACAACATATGCACATGTCAAATCATTTTGTTGTACACCTAGAACGAATGCAATATTATATATTATATGTTATATATATAACTGTTATATGGCAGTTATATCTCAATTAAAAAAAAACAAGATAAGTGAAAACCACTAAATGTAGGCATCACAGGACGATACGAAATTATTTCATATGCTTTCCCTCAAGCCAATCTAAAACTACCATACCTCCCTATCTCACTGCTTACCTGCCTTTATTGAAGGTGCCTTTTTACTTGCAGCTCTTGGACTTTTTATGTTTTTTAAAGCTATATTTTTATTTTTTTAATGTTTCTTATTTATTTCTGAGAGAGAGAGAGAGAGAGAGATAGCATGAGCAGGGGGAGGGTCAGAGAGAGAGGGAGACACAGAATCTGAAGCAGACTCCAGGCTCTGAGCTGGCTGTCAGCACAGAGCCCGACGCGGGGCTAGAACCCACGAACCATGAGATCATGACCTGAGCCGAAGTCAGATGCTTAACCGACTGAGCCACCCAGGCGCCCCTGATCTTGGACTTTTTAAACGAGGCTCTTAAAAGGCGAGAAAATAAGGGGCATTGGAGAACAGTCATAGACACGCATGGGGTAAAAACCCTTCAGTGAGAAAGTTTTTAAAGTTTCTACGAAAGACTCTGCATCCAAGCCACCTTCTCCCACTTCCCCAGCTAGGTGCAATCATCCATCCAGAAATCTTCATTTCCGGAAAAAAGTACCATGGCAGGAAACAAAGGAAGCCCGGGAGCCCACCTCCCCCGGAGTTAGTAACAGAATGCCCTGGTGGGAGGGAGGGGGTGCCCCACAGTGACCTTGCTGGGCCCACGAGGACACCATGGAAACCCTGGCCGTAAGAAGAACCTTGAGCAGACCCCCTCTCCTGAAAACAGGAACCCCCAAACTAGCTCTGAGCATTCCGAAGGCTCTTGTGCCCTGCCGGGTTTGCGATGCAAGATCTTGCTGCTTGGCAACAAGCATGGTGCCCCGAAAACTTCTCAACAACGAAATAAAACGGGATTGGCTCCTCTGCGGGCGCTGTGGTAGCACCGGGTTAGCTGCTTGCGGCTTAAATAAAGAGGCAAAGGAAATCTCCGGGCTGTGTTCACAGCATGGGCACAGGCTGGCTTTCTTATGATCAAGTAGTTTAATCTCTAATGCCACCAACAAACCGACAGTATAACAGTCGGTCCCCGTTCTATAAAAACACTGATCATTTTAATGACAATGTGCACATTTAGTTTGTTTTCAGAAGCAACTCCTAGAAGTTTGGAGGAATGACAGGAGCCCGGGAGGGGAGCGAGGAAATCAACCCAGTAAACTCAAATAATAGAGACAAGTTTTATAGGCCAGGTATCTAAATAAAAGGAAAGGGTTCAAAACAACATATTTGTTCGCACATGGTTTCAGTGAATAGCTTAACCATAATTTCGCCCTTGCCTGCATTCCCAAGTTGGTTTCATAGAAGGCTTTATTGTATTCCCTGAGCATTGTTCGGCATTAATTTCTATGACAAGGAACCCAAAACACATGGCGCTGACAGCAACAAAACAGAGTTAGGGGAACAGTCATGACTTGGCACTAAGTGTGACAAGCTGTAAAAAAGGGAATGTTTCAATATCTGAAGTGGTGTTGACTTCCTATGAACAACCTTTTCTCTTCTAAACAGTATCATATTCTTTTCAAGCACATTTAGAACGCAAGTCAAGCTGTGTTTTATTTTTGATTATAATGCACGCAGTCAGTTTACTGCAACAAAGACATACTAGTGGTGACCAGTTGAAAGCCGGGTTACAACACCATAAGCTGGGCAGGGGGGTGAGGTGGCGGGGCCTGGGGGGCGGGTAGTCAACAGATAAAATAAAAGAGCAGCCGTCTGGAAAGTTCTCTTAAAAGAACATAAAAAGCCAGTGTTTTCTTATGAGACTGACACAGAATGCCAAAATATCTAGCTGGGTTCTTTTCTGTTGTCACTTATGGCAATTTGTAACTAAAAATAGCAAATCCTTCAAAATACTGGGCTCTCCTATTTGTGTTTTTTTTTCACATCCCCATAAAAAAAACCTCAAAAACTTCGTACAGTGCTTTAAACAGTAATACTATTTCTTATATAAAGCTCATCGACATGGCAACTTCTTACATTTTTTCACATATGAATCAAACTGTTTTCTTAAAAACGGTCATTTGAAAATGGTTATCGAAATAGGTGAAGGGGATTAAGAGGTACAGACTTTCAGTTATAAAATAAGTAAGTCCCGGGGTTGAAAAGTACAGCATGGGAACTATAGTCAGTACTATTGAAATAATGTTTGGTGACTGCGCTTACTGTAGGGCGCGTAGCTTAATGTATAGAATTGTCAAATCACTACCTTGTGCACTTGAAACTAATAAAACATTGTGTGTTACTTATGCTTCAATAAAAAAAGTTTATACTTATGCATGCATTTAGATTATTCACAAGGGTGAAATAATAGTTTACAGTATGGTAAACGGTTAGAAATAAAGCTTTCATGATTAAATTCTTGGTTTTGAATTTATTAGGAAATAATGTAAATCATCTTACCATTTCTTGGACTACTGATTTTTCATAATCAAGCTCACATAGTAATCTGTCTCTGCCATCAATTAGCTAAAAAAGAAGAATATTACATTAAAGAAAAGAACAGAACACCTAAATTGCTCCTCAGCAGAATTCAGCTACATGTATTTTGATTTTAAATATGAGAAAAGAGGATCCTAGTATGATTTTTAAAATGTAAGTGTCTATAGATTATCATGTAATAATAATATATCAGTATGTAATTACTATACTTTTACTATATACTATATATATAATTATACTATATATTTTTACTTATTTACAATCTTCCTTACCCTACTCCAACAAAATGTGACATCAATATATAATAAAGCAAGTATAGTCTTTCAAAAAGAGCAGTTTTGCTTTCCTCTTTATAGGACCCATTTCTTTTACTTTAGATTTTTGTGTTATATTTACATGCACATCAAAGTATATTCATGCCAAATGAAAATAGCCATCAAGGGGCACCTGGGTGGCTCTGTCGGTTAGGTGTCAGACTCTTGATCTTGGTTCAGGTCACGATCTTATGGTTCGTGGGTTTGAGCCCTGCATCAGGCTCTCTGTTGACAGCATGGGGCCATCTTGGGATTCTCTCTCTCTCTCTTTATCTCTCTGTCTCTCTCTGCCCCTCCCCTGCTCACGCTTGCTCACTCTCTCTCTTAAAATAAATTAAGATTAAAAAAGAAAAGAAAATAGCCATCAAAAAGCATACACTGCAGGGCCACTGTTCTCCCATCACTTGCCTCAGGATCTTAAATGATTATTTGCATTTGTGTATGTTATATACACTGAGAAAATTCAAACCTTGGTTTTGACATCCTTTCAATTCAATCAAGTCATATATTCATTAATTTACTACATAGGCATTATTTTATCTGATATATATTATCTAAAAGGAACACCTTTTAGATGCCAGGCATTTTGTTGATCTATGGAGTTACAGAGATGAAGTAGAACAGATCCCTTCCTCTAGAGCATCTACATTATGGCAGGAGAGCAATGTGAAAAAAAATGACTAGAATACATGAGAAAATATGTTAATAAGTCAAAATTTCAGAGGGTCAAAAAGCATAAAAATCCACATATCCCAGCAACCATCATTAGAATAAGATATAACACGTGAAACACCATTTGACAATGGTTTTGAAGGATATGAAGAAGTGCAACAAGTGGAGAAGGAAAAAGGCGGAGAAAATAGTGGATGAAACAATTGGAGAGAAGCATGGAGTCATGGAGGAGTTTGGAAAAGCTTAATGTCATGGGGCCCAGGGTGCAGAGAGACAGAAGTCACAGGAAGGGAAAGGAGGAGAGTCAGGTGACAGTAGGAGGGGTTTTGGTGGCCATAATTAGGGGTGGAAGGCAGGATGATGCAGTGAGAGGGACAGGAGTCTGTTCAAATCGACGCTCTTGTTACTAGCTATGTGGGTAAACTAAACCTATGTGTTGAGTCTTAGTTTTCTTGTCTGGAAATTAAGATAATAAAACCTGCTTCGGAGAGTTCTTCCAGAGAGAATTTGAGACAGCAAATGTGAAGGCGTTTTAGGCTGTTCCTGTCATAGGAAAATTCCCCAGTATAACTTTGGGTGGCCTGATTTTATACTGTAGGCAATGGGAAACCGTAGGTTTTAGCACATATGATTAGAGGGTGAGAAAACGATGGCAGAGTGTGAAAGATGGATTTGAAAAGGGACGAGGGTGGAGACAGGAAAGTGAAGTTCTAATCTATGGAAATGACGAGAGCCTCAACCAAGTCCGGAGCAATGTTGTGACAGAGAAAGGGGCTTTGAGATAAATTTTGGAAAGCAAATGTACAGACTGAGCCACCAACTGGATGAAAGTATAAAGGAGAAAGAAGAGAATGGCCCTAGATTTCTCATCTATTCTTTTGGATCAAGGGCAACGTTCATTCATTTAAACAGGAAAACACAGAGAGTCTAGATTCAAAAGATAATGAGCTCAGATTCTGACACTGGGTTTGATGAACATGCAGCGCATTTGTTCAGCAAATATTTTTAGGGCTGATGACTAAGAATATAAAGATACAAAATAGTCCTGGGTATGTGGGGCCACAGAGGGAGCTTCTAATTCCCATAGGGAGTGGACAGGGACTATCAAAGTGCACGTAATGTTGAAATTAAGGATGAGAATAGAGTTGAAACTATGGATGTGGTATTCAGGGAAATCATGAAGCAGAAAAGGAAGTTTGAAGGTCATTGGTAAACATTTTGGGAGAGTCTGAGGTCAGCTAGAGAGAAAACGAAGAAGACCAAGGATGAATAGAATGCCCAAAAACAGTGCTCAAATGGAAAATGGAGGGGGAGAAGCCAGTGACAGATCTTGCTTAGGAAGGAATGAAGAAGTGTGTGAAGGAAGGAATGAAGTAGTGTGTGAAGGAAGGAAGAAGTGTATGAAGGAAGGAAGGAAAAAGTGTGTGAAGGAAGGAAGGAAGAAGTGTGTGAAGGAAGGAATGAAGAAGTGTGTGAAGGAAGGAATGAAGAAGTGTGTGAAGAATAAGAAACAAGCATTGCTGCAGAAGGCGTCTACGATTTGGTGGTGGTGGGGTGGGGGGGATCCTGTCATATACAGAAGAAAATTCAGGAAGGAAAAAATCTAAAAAGGATTGAAAGCAGTATGTATCTCACTGTGATCTTACCCACAGGAAAATCTAGCATTGGGATAATCAAAAAGGGGCTGTTAAACACAGATTTCTTTTTAAAATATTTGAAGTACAGTAAATGGCAATGGCTTGGGGTGATTAGGCTCAATGGATCCCACCAAGATGGTGGCTTCACTATCTAGAATATATCTAGAATAGAGGGAAATTTCTAAAGACATTAGAGAGAAAGGGGCTGATGAAGAAAGTTCCAGAAGAGGAGGAATGTAGAAATGAGTCTGGGAATAGATGGAAAGATGAGTCAGGGCAAAGAATGTTCATCTTCTGACGAAAAAAAGTAAAGGTTGGGGCACCTGGGAGGCTCAGTCAGTTAAGCGGCTGACTTCAGCTCAGGTCAGGATCTCACAGATTGTGGGTTCAAGCCCCGTGTCCGGCTCTGTGCTGACAGCTCAGTGGAGCCTGGGGCCTGCTTCAGATTCTGTGTCTCCTTCTCTCTGCCCTTCCCCTGCTCATGCTCTGTCTCTCAAAAATAAGTAAACATTAAAAAGAAAAGAAAAGAAAAGAAAAGAAAAGAAAAGAAAAGAAAAGAAAAGAAAAGAAAAGAAAAAGAGTAAAGGTGACAGAGTAAGAGAGTGCAGAAGGGGAAAAAAATCCAAGTGTCTACCATGTTCTCTGTGAATTAGGAAGTAGCATGGAGGGATGGAATAAAGGAATTGAGAAAAGTAGCGGAGATTGGAAGACCTATACGGAGTAGTAAGAAAGGGTGCTAATTAGATCCAAGTGAAATGATAGGCAGATGGAAGGTGTGGCTATTCTGGGTTAAAATATCCCTATCCAGGCTCTAGCCATGCCACCAACACGCACGGATTGGCCCATCTCCACCGGAGCAGGGCTGCAGAACAGTGGGGACTGGCTAGCCAGAAGGCTCCGATGGTGACTCAGTGGCCTAGTTGATGAGGTGGGAGGCAAAGATATTGTATTAAGTCATCACACCTTGGTCTGAAAACAAGTGTGGCCAAGTTTCCAATGGGTGTCAGTTACCACAAACATCCAGGCCATTAACCTCAACCCTTCCTGCCCTCTGTAGAACACTCTTTATCAGTTACATCTTCTGCCATTTGTCCACTCTCTCATTCTTCTTTCCATTGACATCATTTAATGGATGTCTCCGTCCAAACTTCTAGAGAGCTGCCCATGCCCACCGTCTCCATTTCGGCATTCACCCTGCTTCTCAACTGCTCCCACTGTCCCAGTAAAATTGCTCTCATTAATATGACCAGGGTCACTGTTGCCAGGGCTAATTGCCTGTTCTTTCCTTTTTAGCCTTTCGCACACCGGGCAGCATGACACCCTGCAAAGGAGACTCTCTTGTTTGGCTTCCATGATATCCCCACTCCCTCTTCTCCCTCTGCCTGTCCTCCTTTTCATTTGGATGCTCGCCAACCGTAACTTCTCTCGCTCCTTTCCTCTCCTGCCTTCAAACTTATTGATGGCCAAGCTTTTACTGCCTAATCATCTCTGAGTTCATCCTTCCCAATTATCCCCAGTGTCCCTGTCTTCTTTCTGTTTCAGATTATAGTTTCCCTCGTTTATCCAAGGAACCTCTTAACTGGTCCCTCTGGCTCTGGACTTTCCTCCCTCTCACTCATTTTCTTTCTGAAACAAAGAAATCAAAGAATCGAATCCTTCCCCAATGTCCAAGGCTCCCCAGTGCACTCCGAAGGCACTTCAGAGCCCTCGGCATGAATCGTAACCCTCTGCCATGTGGCCTGCTCCTTGCCGCCCTTGCGCTCACGTATCCTTCAGCTATAGCAGATCGCATGCTCTTACTTCCGTTCTGCATGTTTCTGACCCTTCCTGTCTCCCATGTCCCTTTCCTGGCTGACTAGAACCCTTCTTCTGGGAGTCAACTCAGTATCTTTCACCCCACAGCGATCTCTGCTGCCCCGTGTCCTCATGCTGATCACACCCCGGGCTGTAATGTCTGGCTTCTGGTCTGACTCCTTCCCAGGAGGAGATTCGTATTAATGGCCACAGCTGGAGTATAGATTCGATTCAACTGTTATTAGATTATTGGCATTGAAACATAAAAGTTGCTGAATACCATACTGGACAGTGCTTCTAAACCCTAATAGACAGCAAGGAGTCGGCCTACCCAGATGCAGGCTTGCATCAACTTGTTTCTAATGTATCCAGGGCTAAAAAAGAAAACATGTATCTTATCCAGTATCTTATGCAGAGGCTTCTGAACTGCTTACCCCACACCCCAGACTTCCCGCCTCTTGCTGCCCCAACACAAATTTGTGCCACATAGCTCACCAGATTCCTAGCTCATACTTTAGCCATACCAAATCACAAACAAGTGCATGGGTATATCTCACACATTATGCATTCACACTTTGTATCTGGCTCTACCACCCTCCTACCTACCTGGAAAGATCAGCTTGAGTGAAAGAGGGTGAGATAGGTGTGGAACTCTTTGAGAAGCCTTTCTAGAACCTTCCGGGTAAAGCTAGACATCTCTTCTCTATGTACATACTTATATTATCACACAGTCCAGGGGTTTTTGTCTCATGCTCTAGACTTAATCTGCTCCACAGCTGGGTGGTGTGTGTGTGTGTGTGTGTGTGTGTGTAATTTTGTTTCTCAGCAGTAGCATAGTGCCTGGCACTAAAAGGCTTCTAATAAACATTGATGAATTAATTGATTAAGTGGAGGATATTGGAAACCAAACCAATAAATATCAGCTCTCACTTGTTCAACAACTTTGGTATATCTTTCCAGCTGACAAAACACTTTGATGTACACTATCTCATTCTACCCACACAGTAAGCAATGAGAGGCAGGAAGAAACATAAGGCACTGGCCCAAGGGATCATAGTGGCAGAAATGGAAAAGGAACCCATGGTTCTAGATTCTTTCTGCTCAATACTAAATTGTGCCTATATTCAATGTTTTTGTGGAGATCCAGTACATATAAAGAAACAGGATTTAAAAAATGATCAAACAGGGCTGCCTGGGTGGCTCAGTCAGTTAAGCATCCAATTCTTGATTTCGGCTCAGGTCATGATCTCACAGTTCGTGGGATCAAGCCTCACATTAAGTTCTGTGCTGACAGTACAGAGCCTACCTGGGATCTCCTCTCTCTCCCTCTCTCTCTCTCTGGCTCTCCCCCACTTGTACTCTCTCTCTCATAAATAAATAAATAAATTTTTTTTTTAAGTTTTAAAAAATGATCAAACAGACTTGGGATCTGCTATATTTGTTCAGAAGAGAGCTGTGAATTAAAAATATGGTATAAATGGGGTGCCTGGATGGCTCAGTCGGTTAAGCATCCAACTTCAGCTCAGGTCATGATCTCACAGTTTGTGAGTTCGAGCCCCGTGTCAGGCTCTATGCTGACAGCCAGCTCAGAGCCTGGAGTCTGTTTCAGATTCTGTGTCTCCCTCTCTCTCTGACCCTCCCCTAGTCACGCTGTCTCTCTCTCTCAGAAATAAATTTTAAAAAACATTTTAAAAAATATGGTGTGAATACATATATAATTTTAAATTTTATGGTAGCCTTGTTAGAAAAGGTAAGAGAAACAGGTTAAATTACTTTTAATAATAAATTTTATTTATCCAAATACATATCTGAAAAACTATCATCTCAATGTATAATAACGAATATTAAAAATCAGTGCTGAGATATTTCACTTACACTAAGTCTTTGAAACCCAGTGTTTACTTTTCATATACTCAAATCTCAATTTGGGGGCTAAAATCTCATTGGGAATATCTGATCTGTATTTAGACCACATAAACGGTGAGATCAGACCTGAGCTGAAGCCGAATGCTCAACTGACTGAGCCACCCAGGCGCCCCTAATTTTCGTTTTTAAAACTGACCCTAGGGTCTCCTCGTTGGCTCAGTCAGTTAAGTGTCTGACTTCAACTCAGTTCATGATATCATGGTTCATGGATTTGAGTCCCATGTTGGGCTCTGTGCTGACAGCTCACAGCCTGCAACCTGCTTCAGATTTTGTGTCTCCCTCTCTCTCTGCCCCTCCCCCGCTTGCACGCGTGCGCGTGCACGCTCTCTCTCTCTCTCTCTATCAAAAATAAACACTAAAAAAAGTTGTTGTTTTTTTATTTTTTTTAAATTTATTTCTGAGACAGACAGAGACAGTGTGAGCAGGGGAGGGTCAGAGAGAGAGGGAGATACAGAATCTGAAACAGGTTCCAGGCTCTGAGCTGTCAGCACAGAGCCCGATGTGGGGCTCGAACCCACGAACTGTGAGATCATGACCTGAGCTGAAGTCGGACGCTTAACCGACTGAGCCACCCAGGTGCTCCTAAAAAAAGTTTTAATAAAAAAATAAAACTGACTCTCTATTCAGCTAGTGGAAAGCATTTATGTTTATTTGGAATAATTCAGGGTTGTAAATACACATTTTCGCCTGTAAATTCCACCTCCAAACACATTCTCATCTTATGAATCACTGAAAGAGCATCTGTAAGGGTGCCAGGCTCTGTGCTCAGCACTGGGAATATACCAGAGATGGAGAAAATACCACCTCTGCCCTTGTGGGCTTACGGTGTGGCAGGGACGACTCCCCATCACTGAAAATGTGTCGATGGCTATGACAGGAAGGGACAGAGAGTGAAGAAAGCCCAAAGCAGGGGTGCCCAACCTGTGCAAGAGGACAGAACTGCTGTGGTCCTGCCGTACCGGGTGCTCTAGGAGATTTTGACCTTGGCGATACCAAAAGAATTCCCTATACTAAATACAGATTTCCTGCACAACGTAAGCCCCGTTCATGCACACACAGAAAAATGAACATGAAGCCGCATCTGGGCTGCCACAGGCACATCTTGGGACCTCCTTGTCCTGTAACTTTTTAATTCCTTACAGTTAACAAGGTAAACACTCGGGGCACCTGGGTGGCTCAGTCGGTTAAGCGGCCGACTTCAGCCCAGGTCATGATCTCACGGTTCGTGGGTTCGAGCCCTCCATAGGGCTCTGTGCTGGCAGCTAGCTCAGAGCCTGGAGCCTGTTTCAGATTCTGTATCTCCCTCTCTCTGACCCTCCCCTGCTTACGCGGTCTCTCTCTCTCAGAAATAAATAAAACATTTAAAAAATTATAAAAAACAAAAAAACAACAACAAGGTAAACACTCAGCTATCCCAAAGAAAAGAGGTCTCTGGACATTAATTCATTTTCAAGATGGCAGACAACGGGACAAATGAAATATAGATATTGATTTTTCTCTGTGCCTCAAGACAAGTAGGACGCAGTGTTACTTCAGCGATCGTGTTGATATTTTAATGTAAAAGAATCATTTCATCGATGTAAAATAGTTACAGTACCTTTTGAATAATTGTACGATCCTTTGCTGCCGAGTCTTTCAGAGATATAATTTCATCTTCTGTAAACAAAAGGAGAGAGAGGCCAAGCATGAAATTACAAGCTCAAGGCCCTGTATTCAAACTCCCTGCTTCGGGGCAGGCTGTATGCGGCTGGCGGGCACAGTGGACTCAAGCCCTAGCAGGACTGTGACCTTCACAACTGCCCTTGACATTCACAGCCTTCTTCCTGCTGTTCAGACGGCTGGTCAGATAGAGCTTAAGAACTAAGTTCAAGATCCAAGTGTGGCTGAGGGCTGAAAGCTTTTCATCAATACTAGCAAGGGACATTTTTGCTGTTAGTCACAGCCAATACAAAGTGCTTTAGCAGGTGGCACTTTAGGAGACAGTAAGAGCCACCAGAACCTGAAAAAGTGGTATTACATCATATTAGAAGGGAAATGAAACTACACTGGCAAGGCATAATTGATATTCAAGGGATATTGTAATAGCTCTGATTTTATCAATGTTTTGCTGTAAGGTTTTTATTTTATTATTATTGCTTATTCATTCTTCTCATAACTACAGGTTAGGGCGAACACGATATAATTAACATAAATACAAAGATAACAATAAGTGAAAAACTACTTCAAAACACTTTAAATTTGGTGATTTAAATTCAACTTTTACCAGCGTTTCTGGTATGTAAAAAAAGGGGGGGGCAGTATAAAGCATATGCAGGGAAATTTGTACTTTAAATTTGTATCCAACATTGCAGATAATTCCATAGTCAGTAGTGGTCTATTTTTCCAAAAAGGCTAATCCACAAAGCACACCCCAACCTGCGTGCCTAAGTGTTTAAATGTTACAACTTTTAGCTAATCAATCAATCATATGAAATAGAAATGAACAGAAGTTTCTGTTTATAGTATTTCTAATTGCAATAGAGCGCTGTTGAGCACAGTTTTCAAAGGTTAATGCTTGTCTGAGGGGGAAAAACAGCCCTAAGGATGGCATGGCTCAGGATACAGGCACAAAAAAAATCCTCTTTCCCAAGCAAGGAATGCCACCTTATGTGAAAATCAAACAGATCTTGTAAGTGTAAATAACCAAGCAAATGTATATTTGGTAAAGACAAATGGAGCTATGGATTTTGGGAAGTGCCCGGTGCAAAGGTTTTTCTCCGAAATGACTGTAAACTGTTACCTAAGAGCGAGTTTTCCCTTAGATTGAGTCGGATTGCTTCTTCGAGTTCTGCAATGATTTGAAGCAGCCTCTCGTTTTCCACTTTCTGCTCCAAATTCTCTCTTTCTAGGGCTGTCTCTTTGGCAAACGCGTCCTGAAAGATGGGGAATCCCGTATTTCTAAGCCGAGAGCCAAGGATTTAAATACGCAACACGACACAATGCAGACACAGAAGAGCTATCATATAATTTTCTGAATTCTATTACACACTTACAATATGAATAGCAAAAAGGAAGGAGATTAAATAGAGCTCGCTGGAAGAAAGGCTGCAGTACATTCCGGACAAAGACCACAGTACATGGGGACATTTTATTGACAGGAATAATGCATATCATACTGTTTGTGTGCCCTCATCATTCAGGTCAATTCATTATGGAGGCTGTGTCCGGGGAGGCAGCTGGGGCCCCTCCACCCACACTTCCCTCTGTGTGTGTCTGAAGTGCTGTCCGCCTGTAACTAGGCAGGCTGGGGAGACGGGGACGGGCAGCGCCAGGGGGTAGCAGAGTGCACGGCCAAGGAGGGGGGCTTGTTGCCTTTGTGGCATTTCCCAGTGTCAGCGCTGCCAGTGTCATGAGGAGCACATCACATGTCAAAGTGGTGACGTTTTCAGGCTGGGAGCCGCATGGAGTCCATCAGGCACACGGATAGCCACACAGTTGGTTTTCTGCTTGGTAGAGGAGCCACCCAGAGGCCATTCATATTCTGAACATTAACGTGGCTTTGCATGCCTGTCACACTGGCACCGCGCAGGCGTTTAATGCTATTGAAGACTTCGGTTTAAATCTCTATGCAAACAGTGATTACCTTGTAAGAAGGTTTCAGGATAACTTGCAACAAAAGACTTTAAAGTTATAGTTTTAGTAAAGCAAACTCATTTACATTTTTATTATGTGCGTCTTTTGTTTAAATCTTGCCATGTCCATTATGGGAGAGGCTTTTTCTTACGCAATAGAAGCTTATTGGGACAGCTACTCTTCCTTTCTTCTTCTTCTCGTCTGCCTCAAAGCTATTGAAACACATCTGAATATACTCGCCGATGGTTGTCTAGATTTTACCGCCACGCATTAAAAAAAAAAAAATTAAGATGTAATGGATTGGGGAAGCTGGCGGAGAGGTTTCTAGTTCGTGGTGGTAAAATATTAAATGGTTATGCAATCTCAAAATCTTAAGGAGTATGTTTAAAAGTCATTATAGCTTTATGCTCAAAGAGATAGAAGGCTCTAATGCCTTGCCTCAGAATTCATCCAGATGACAGAAATACTTTTGAACTTTAAAGTGATCTTCAGATATATGATAATCTATTCTTTCTGCAGCCATGCCACGATTGCTAACACACAAAAATAAAATCTTTCCTCAAAAACAAAATCACTACTCCCAACTTTCCTTTTGGAAAGGTAGCTTTCTTTAACTTCAGAGATACCTGAAAGTCAGTTATTAAAATGTTTTTCTCTGTGGCCATAATGGTTCAAAAGAAAAATAAGTGGCTACAATTTTTGCAGTATGTTTAATAAACCCTTAAAAAAAATAACACACCACCTGCCAGTGAAGTTAGTTCTATGAGAGTTAATTTTTAACACAACGTTAAATTTTGCACTAAACCCAATACAAATCTTCATGATTTTGATTCACCATTTCATTTAAATTATTTGAGCCCAACTCATTCTTAATGAATGAGAGTTAACAATCTAATAAATAATAGACAACACTGTTTTCTTAATAAAAGAAGAATCCTGGCCATTAATTTCTAGTCCCACATGTTCAATTAGAAACCATCACAGAATGCACTTATAGACTAATAGGGCTTTTTAAACAAACAAACAAACAAACAAACAATATTTGTCTTCAAAGGGCTAAGCAGTTTTCCTAACTGGCAGGATATGGATACCGCAGTGGATTACAGGAGCACACATGATCATAAACTATACAAGAACTATTTGAATTAATCACACAAAGTATAAAATTTACAAAGGGTAGCAGCTAATACTTAGATGTGTTTTCTAAAACTCTCGCATAAAAGCAGGAGACAAGGAAAACCCGTTCAACTGGAGGGCTTTTTCTCTCCATATCCATCTACAGCCCCTGGGCCTGGTGAGGTTAATCTTTAGCTCTGTCCCCACCATCTGTCAGTTGCAGGAACTGCAGGTAATTAACTATTCAGACTCCACAGCAATGAGGACACTCATTAGCAAAATGAACAAAGGGATAGTTCTGGGCTGCTACGGTCATCTGTTACACTCTGAGTGGCAGGTTTTGTGGTGGGGTTCCTTCTACCATCTGCCCACACCACTAGCTTTGACTTTTTGAAACCACAAGACTTCTTTAAAATAAACTGCATTTAATAAACCAAGGTTGAAAAGGATGGAGATCATTAAAAGGCGATTAACTAGGTGTAGCTAGTTAAAGCTGCATTATGGCTGAGGAGAGAGTGTGTGCGATCCGCGATCATTCTGGAATTTTAAACTGATAAAGGAACTCACCGATGTAAAGTTTTTCTATCGCGTGAAAATTATGACTTCGGGTCGTGGCTTACGCCCTCTTTCTCTGGTGAACACTCACAAGGTGTGTGGGACGGAATCGCCGTTCCCAGGTTTCAGACACCTACACAGATCCTGCAAGAATCATGTCTGGGTACTGGCATATCATAGAGCCTTGCTACTCTGATTCTGGTCCACAGACCGGGAATCTCAGCATCACCCAGCAGCGTATGGGAAACGCAGACCCTCAGGACCCAGCCCAGACCGACTGTCAGAATCTGGATCTGAACAGGAGCTGCGGGGGTTCCCGGTGCACAATGAAGTCTGAGGAGTTCTGTTCAGAGCCCTGCATGTGCCTCTCAGCAGTCTTCCTTCTGCCATATTCGTGTCTCAATTCTGCAGGCTCCGCGTATAGAGCTCGGACATCTCAATTTGCTGCTGGGGCGTGCTGTAGAGTTCTGATGCGTGCCCATGCTGCATGACAGTCATGGAGGGGAGCAGGTGCTCTCCCCGTGAGTGACAACCAGGAAAGCGGCACGCTGGGGTAGTGCAGCCCTGCAGAGCGGCGACTCTTGAATGACAGCTCTGTTTCAGCGCTGTCAGCAACAAGCAGTCATGTTCACTTGTGGGGGGTGCTAGGCTGATGTTTGCACAGCTCATGCGTGGTAAGGTAAGAAAGAAACAAAGTCTTTTGAAAACGGCAACTAATTAAAGCAACTGAAACACACATGCACGTTTGCAGGCATCCACACGCCTATGTGTGCACGCGCTTGGGCTAGCCTCCTTTAGCCATCCCCGCGGGGTTTCGTCACTGTACAGCGTGACAACCTGATAACTACGGGTCATGCAGTTAAGTTATGATGCACGAAACTGGAAAAGATGCTCAGCCCTTGAATGAAGTTGCTCTGAGGAATATTCAACATCAAGGAAGTTCTGATCCGGAGGGAGGAGGCTTCTAAAAGTTGAAGAGCTCCCTTTCCTGATATCCACTTGGTTATAAACAGGTTTTAAGGCAGTTGTTTCTTAAACTTTCCCTCTGCAATCACATTCTTATCAGATTTTTCTCAAAAATAGTTCTAGAGAGATATTTGGTCTACTTATTAACTATAAAGCTATTTATGTAATTTGGCTGCTGGTAAGGATAAACTAGTGTTTCCCTATTGCTTATTCAGCTTGCTTATTTCCATTTGTTTTTCAAGTGATCACCATTGCTACTTTGAAATTTCCCAGTTGGTTCTCCAAATTCAGTTTTCCAAACTCGGATTTCAGATGCTCGATAGCTTAAGCTTTTTGATGCCACCAGAGGGAGCAGTTGCATAAGATGAAATGACGAAAAAAAAAAAGCTCTCTTAGAGTGCAAGTGGCATGGAGTTTTAGGAAATCTTATTCTTAGAGGATTAAAAAAAAGGGGGGGTATTCTCCATAGGCTTCTTTTATATAAATCATGATCTGTTCTGTGGCATTCACGTCCATGTTCCTGAAATGTACACTATTACTGACTGCCCTACATGGCCCTCAGTCAAGGTGGGAGACCAGGGCCATTTTGCTGGAGTTGTAAGAAGGTGGAAGAAATGTATACACCTAGTTAATCAGGAGTGTGTCACCTTCCTCAAATCTTAGGGTGTTTACCGAAATTGTGAGGTGGTCTCCCTGGGGACGAATTATAGTGGAATAATCCAGAGACTCCGGATGCCATCCTGAACCAGGGAGCACCTGCTTATACAAGAGCAGGGTGGGGCCTTCCACTTCCCTTGTCCCCACAAAGACACCACCAGCCATCCCTATCCTCCTTCTTTCCCCAGAGCATCAGAGAGACCAGTGAAGAGGTAGAGAACACTTACAGGTGTAAACATTCCAGGATACACCTCAGGTTTTAGTGTAAGGAGCTCAAGTAACAAATTGGGACATCTCAACAAGTCCCGAGGTGTGTTTAGTGCATTTCCCCGAATGTAGACCAGGCAGTCCTAAGGGCTTGTGTATTTCCTCACAATGATAACTAAAATTTATATACTCACTGTTTTTTAAAGAACTCAAAGCAGTTCAGTCAGTACAGCAGATTTCCCTCTCACACCTCTCTTGCTTTTAGCTGGGCAGGTATCACTTTGCACTTCTCAAGTGGGAAATAATGGATCAAAATAACCTTGCCAATCTGTGCTGGATATCTTTGGCCAAGGCAAGATTAAAAGCCAATACTATTACAGGTTTTAAGTCTTTTCTATTATATTATTATCTCCAAAAGATAAGACTAGGGGTGCCTGGGTGGCTTAGTTGGTTAAGTGTCCAACATCGGCTCAGGTCATGATTTCATGGCTTGTGAGTTCGAGCCCCGCATCAGGCTCTGTGCTGACAGCTAGCTCAGAGCCTGGAGCCTGCTTCGGATTCTGTGTCTCCCTCTCTCTCTGACCCTCTCTGTTCACACTGTCTCTCTCTTTCTCTCAAAAATAAATAAACATTAAAAATTCATTCATTCATTCATTAAAAAGACTAGATTTAGACCCAGGAAAAGGTTAAAGTAAAGGCAGAAACTGGATATGCCTCCCCCAAAGCAATCAGAATGTGTAAAAAGAATTAGTATTCAATTTCATTAGATCTATGCTAATAACACGTCATAATACATGGATTAGAAGATACTCAGGTTTTTTTAGAACACTAAGAATTCTAATAGATTATACAAAGCAAACATGCCTTCACCACTTAGTGAAGGAAATCCTTTAGAAGGATACAATTTCAATTCCTTATCTATTCTAAACTTGGGAGTTTTAAATAAGACTACTAGTGTGGGATATAGGTAAACTATAGACTGCACTTAAAGGGACCGGCAGCGAGCAAGTGTTTCTTCCTGGGGTTCACATTTTGATACATAATTTCTCAGACTTTTTCTGTGCATATTTATGCTTGTGTCAATATTTACATGTATATATATACATACGTATTAATATACTAGTATATATTACTATAGAGCATTGAGCTCCACTTCCTTTTTTTTTGTTTTATTTATTTATTTTAGGAGAGAGAGAGAGAGACAGTGTGAGCAGGGGAAGGTCAGAGAGAGAGGGAGTCACAGACTGAAACAGGCTCCAGGCTCTGAGCTGGCAGTCAGCACAGAGCCCGACGCGGGGCCCGAACCCACGAACCACGAGATCATGACCTGAGCGAAAGTCGGACACTTAACCGACTAAGCCACCCAGGTGCCCTTAGCTCCACTTCCTTTTGTGGGTTTTGGATTCAGTTGGACCTTGGTTCACATGCTATCTTCACCATTTACTAGCCATATGCCTGGGGGAAGTACCTTAACCACCCGTCAATGCTTCCTCCTCTGTAAACTTAGCTCCGAGATAAGATACCGCTGATGAGGCACGCGGTGCCTGCCAGTTGATGTTCAAAAGATTGTTATTCTTCTTGGCCTCTCTGCGAGCCTTTCTGCGAGCTCCTACTCAAACAATCAGCTTCTTGTTCTTAGACTCTATTACTACAAACCCCTCCGTGGCTCTGAATGGCAGTTGGGCCACAGCCACTGCCTGACAGCTGACTTAAGGTGAAAATGAACTCACTCTCAGAGTCCACACTTTCCAGAGCCCTGAAAATTCTCCTTCTTGATGGGAGTTTAGCCTCTCCTTTCTCTCTCTTTCCATTTTTGTTCCCAGCAGTCCTCTGTTTAAGTAGGAAACCAGCTCCTGACTCCCTATGCAACAAGGAGAACTGGGGGGATACCCTCCACGATTTTTCCTCGAAAGCTCTCTAGTTCTAAAGGGGCTTTCTGGAAGCCTCTGACTTGGGGAGATGGCTTTGTATCTTTCAAACTATCTGAACAGCACAACCAGGCTTGGAGTTTTCAAAATAAAACAAAAATCTATTTACATGCTCTTCTAGATAGGAAAATTTTTTCAGTGGGAGATAGGTTATTTTATTCCATTATAAATAAAAATTGAGGACAATTATACTGCTCCTATTTATAACTATTATGGGTTTTCTGGAATATGCCATTGAGCAGAAAAAGGTTGGATTGGCTGATGTTGTGGAGAGATACCCAAGATATACCACCTGTATTTCCTTTATTCTTAACCCAAACTTTTGGAAAGTTATAGTTTTATTTACATATATTAATATTAATTATCCATTGTTTTGAAACTTACAAGTTGTTGAGACTCTTCACATTGATCTAGTTCTTCTTTTAACTCCTTAATAATTCCCTCTCTCTCCTTCAGTCTTTTTAACAAAATACTCATTTTGATAGTTGCTGATTCTTGCAAAAAAGTCTCTTCTTCCACCTCAAAGAATTGCTAGGGATAAAAAGCAGCATTAAAAATCAGACACCGAGTGAACACCATCGGAAACTGTTTTATGTTTTATTTAAGCTACTCTCTTGCAAGTTATTTTTATAACTTGCACACAATTTTCAGTATGTAACTATACATGTATTGAATGATATGCTAAAATGCCATAGAATATATAGCACATTATTATGCTATAAAACACAAAGAATAATGTCGGACTCTAACTGCATCCACCAGGCAAGTACTAACAGTAAACCTCAACTGTAAATTTACATCGTGTTGTGAATGTTCTACTCCAATCTTCCCCTAGAAGAAAGTAGCAAACATTTGAATATGTAACAAGAGAAGTAAACTTGAACGGTGCCACTAAATTCCCCTCGTGGCCTGGTATGGAGATGTGGAGAGAAATCTCATTCTTTTTCTTTTTTTCCACAGAAAAGGTTGGCAGACCATTAATCTAGACAAACGAGGCTTCATTTGAAAAATTAGGAAACTGAGATCAGGGTAGAGGACTATGCAGTACAATGGAATTTTTCTTCTCGGCAAAGCTGTGGAAGTAATCTTCAGGGTCTATGTGCATTATAAAATTATATAATTCTAGCATATCATTCATTTCCCTCTGCATGAAAAAATGTCTATGTTTTCGCTTTTCTTTAAAAAATTGAATAAGCTGGGTTTTTTGGTGTTTTTTTTTGTTGTTGTTTATTTATTTTGAGAGAGAAAGAAAGAGCAGAGGAGAAGTAGAGAGAGAGGAAGACAGAGAATCCCAAGCAGGCTCCGCACTGTCAGCACAGAGCCTGAGGTGGGGCTCAAACTATAGATTATGACCCCAGCTGAAGTCAGACGCTCAACTGACTGAGCCACTCAGGTGCCCCATAAGCTGTTTTTTGTTAACACTAATCAAAAAGAAACTAAATGAAAAATACACTCTCGAATTGGCTTGAAACGAATTTGATTCTTCGTTGACACCATAGATCATACATGGAGATATATTTTAATTTTTAATTAATTAATTAATTCGTTTGACTTTAAGCATTTAATTTTGATTCATTTGATTTTAAGCATTTCCCATGTCATTAACATTTTACATAATTACTGATGGCTCTATAACATTCTGCTCCATAGAAATGCCATAATTTTATATGATCATTATAATATATATTAAGTTTTCCATTATACCAAATCTTTCTACATACATCTCTGTCTGCATATTTGATTTTTTTTTCTTGGCACAGATAGACCCTTAGCAGTAGAATTTCTGGCCAAAGCATATGAAATGTATTCACAGCCTTGACTCATTTTATAAATTTCTTTTCAAAAAGATTGTTCAGTTTATATTCTACCTTGAGGATGAGAATGTCTGCCTTACAACACTCTGAACCACAGTATATTGTCATTTTCTGAGTCTTACTATGACAATGTATGAACGTAGTATTTTATTTTTGAATTAATCACCATGTTTTACTTCTTTATTTTTTGGAAAACATAATCTCTACACCCGATGTGGGGCTTGAACTCACAGCCCCGAGATCAAGAGACACATGCTCCATTGACTGACCCAGCCAGGTGCCCCTTAATCAGCATGTTTTGATTGCCCTTCAAAGTGAATTTTTTTCATATGCTATGAGCTGTTTATGTTTTATGTTTTGAATGTACTTAATTCTAATTAGTATTAGAATTTTCCTGAGAACTCAAAATAGTTTTAGAACGTCCATTTATCAATTTATTAATCAGGGTTGTTGATTAGTTTACCGCTTCCATTTGTGAGCATAGCAGCACCCATTTCTTGACAGCCTGTTTTGGGCACTTAAGGGCTGCCCTGTCTACAGTCAGTAAGAACCTTATCACAAAACCAAACAGGAAAGAAATATTCAAAATGTGAATGCTGTTTCTTATTTCTAGCATAGGGAAATCTCATTTTCAATCCTGTTGTGTAAAATCCTATTGTTCATTTTGGACCCTTTTGAGAATTACAGAATTGTTTTATTGTTATTAGTTGTTCACTGCTCATAGATTTGAGCACATGCATAAACAGGAAATACAGTAAAACCTAATCATACCCGCGAATACACTTAACATTATATTTCAGAGTTTTACAACCTGAAGTTCATATATTCAGAGATTTATAAACTGAAATTGTTCTATAATATATGATGAATGCCAGTCACCTGAGGAGAATAATGTACCATGGTAGAATTAGGAATCAAGCTAGGAACAGAACACTAACATGGCCTCACAGCCCTAATGTAAAAATCAGCACATGCAGATGCAGCACGATGGAAAAGAGTGAAGGCAGAACAATCGGTATGAACAATACCAGCCTTTTTAAAAAATGTTTTCTTTTTTGTTTACTTTTGAAAGGGGGGAGGGGCAGAGAGTGAGAGACAGAGACAGAGACAGAGAACCCAAAGCAGTGTCTGAGCTAATAGCATAGAGCCCAATGTGAGGCTCGAATTCACAAACTGTGAGATCATGACCTGAGCCAAAGTCAGACGCCCAACCGACTAAGCCACCCAGGTCCCCTAATAACACCAGCTTTTTAAATTGAGTGGCTTTCAAGAACAAGATTGGTTGTGTAGAGCAGGATAGCCTGTGTCGGGAGGCCAGCTCTGTTTGTGCCTGTGCCCTGTGCCTCAGTTTAATCATCTGTAAAATGGGATTAATAACAATACCTAAACTGCCATGAGAATTAAATAAGATAATGCGCATAAACCATTTTGAACAGTGTCTACAGCACAATCAGCTCCTTGTAAGTATTGCATCTTAATATTTATTATTGTTCTAACTGTTGTGTCATTCAGACCCAGATACCACTGCTCTGGGAAGCCTCAGCACCCCCATCTGCCCTCCACTACTGTGTTCTTCCTGTATCTTGTCAATGCTCTTCTTGGGTCACTTCATTTATTATTTGTTTATTTGCTCACTACTTTTTATGCTCTGGATATGGTGGATTTATTTTACTTTTATTTTTAAAAATATTTTTTAATGTTTATTTTTGAGGGGGAGAGAGACAGAGTGTGAGCGGGGGAGGGGCAGGGAGGGAGACACAGAGTCCCAAGCAGGCTCCAGGCCCTGAGCTGTCAGCACAGAGCTTGAACTCACAAACCGTGAGATCATGACCTGAGTTGAAGCCGGACACTTAACTGACTGAGCCACCCAGGCATCCCTCTTTTACTTTTAAAAAACACCAAAATAAAGATGCTTCTGACAAGCAGGCCAAGTGGTCTCCTCCATAACCCGCCACAAGCCACCCCAAGATGCTCATTTAAAATCTGCCCCCAGGAACTGGGTGGAGACGCTGTGCAGACTCAGCAGTGAGCCTGCCTCTAGGATAGGGTCAGTTCCCCTGGACTTCAGGGCAGAGAGGGTCACGCAGTTCTTTGTAAGAACAGAAAGTTTCACTTTTTTTAAAAAATATTTTTATTGGGGCGCCTGGGTGGCTTAGTCGGTTAAGCGTCCGACTTTCGCTCAGGTCATGATCTCGCGGTTCATGGGTTCGAGCCCCGCGTCGGGCTCTGTGCTGACTGCCAGCTCAGAGCCTGGAGCCTGTTTCAGTCTGTGACTCCCTCTCTCTCTGACCCTCCCCTGCTCACGCTGTCTCTCTCTCTCTCCTAGAAAATTTATTTCTGAAACAGGCTCCAGGCTCTGAGCTGGCAGTCAGCACAGAGCCAGACGCGGGGCTCGAACCCACGAACCGCGAGATCATGACCTGAGCGAAAGTCGGACGCTTAACCGACTAAGCCACCCAGGCGCCCCCAGAAAGTTTCACTTTTGACATTTCACAAAATAATTGTAAGACCCAAACACTTTGGATTCATTTCTCTTCATCTCCAGGAATGTTTCTGATGTTTGACCAATGTTTATGGAATGAGCTAGACTCACAAGGTGACAAGCGGAAGGCGCTTTTATTTTTCTCCACCGCCCCTCAAATCTGGTCTCCTGTCTCGTGTTTCTTCCCTCTTACAAAAACCCCAGGAAAAATACTCTTGGTTTCTCTTCAGATCGCATAAATCTTTCGCCTTTTACAAAAACCCCAGGAAAGTTCCACTGCTTTTTTTTTTTTTTTAACTCTTAAATAACAACAACAAAACTGGATAGAGGAAAGAAAGATAGGAAGAAAGCAAGAGCCAAGACAAAAAATAAAATGCTCCAAGTCTCATTCCAGCCTAATCTTACCCATCGAGGTTCCTGTCCTCCCCAGCGGCGGCCTCCCTTGGATGTGGCATTCTGTGCTGGAGGAGAGGGCTTGAAACTGGCTTTCTTTGCTGGAACCCAGAGATCTGGTTAACCACCAGTCTAGATGTTGCTGTGAAACTATTTTTTAGGTGCGATTAACATTAACATCGAGAGACTGAGTAAAGCCGATTACCTTCCGTAATGTGGGTTGGCCTCGTCCAATCAGTTGAAGGTCTTCAGAGAAAAGACTGAGTTCCCAGAGGAAGAGGGGATTTTGTCAGCAGACTTTTTTGGACCTGGACTGTCCAAAACCCCAGCTCCTCCCCGAATCTCTGGCCTGCTAGCCTACCTTGCAGATTTCAGACTTGTCAGCCCCCACAGCCATGTGCCCCAATTCCTTAAAATCAACCTCTCTCTTCCTCCCTTTCTCTCTCTACACATTGGTTCTGTTTTTTTCTGGAGAATCCTAATAGACTATCTCATCTAAAGACCATAAATTCCCACCAACACCTTCAATTGCGATCCACTGCCATGGTGTTTATTACAGCCTGTCTCCTTTCCATAGCTTAACCCTTTCTCTGGTGGCGAGAAGGCTGGCTCCCATGATGCTTGAGGCACTGATGCGTTTGCTCAACCCTCCCTTCACGGAACCCATGTCCTGACCACACTGTGCCACCAAGAGCTTGGCTCCGATGCAGGCGATGGGACGGAGACAGCAGAAGCATGTCTTCGGACTTCTAATTCACGATGGCAAGAAAATTTTATTGAGGACTTCCATTCCTCTGGTCTTGCGCAAAGAGTTAATAATTGTATTTTAATTTCTCCTTCAG